GGGGGGAGGTGGGGGAGGTGGTGTGCGTCGCGACGCGGAATAAAGCGTTCGTGGCGGAGGGGGCAGTGGGCGGGGCTCCCGCTGGGGCGCTGGGGACGCGGGGGGGGCTCGGGGCAGAGAGCCACGGCGCGGGGGTCCCACTCTGGCGCTGGGGACGCGGGGGGGGGGTGCGACGCGGAATAAGCGTTCGTGGCGGAGGGGGCAATGGGCGGGGCTCCCGCTGGGGCGCTGGGGACGCGGGGGGCTCGGGGCAGAGAGCCACGGCGCGAGGGTCCCACTCTGGCGCTGGGGACGCGGGGGGGCTCGGGGCAAAGAGCCACGGCGCGGGGGTCCCACTCTGGCGCTGGGGACGCGGGGAGGGGGGTGGGGTGCGACGCGGAATAAAGCGTTCGTGGCGGAGGGGGCAGTGGGCGGGGCTCCCGCTGGGGCGCTGGGGAACGCGGGGGAGCCCGGGGCAGAGAGCCACGACGCGGGGGTCCCACTCTGGCGCTGGGGACGCGGTTGGGGGGGGGGGGCGACGCGGAATAAAGCGTTCGTGGCGGAGGGGGCAGTGGGCGGGGCTCCCGCTGGGGCGCTGGGGACGCGGGGATGCTCGGGGCAGAGAGCCAGGGCGCGGGGGTCCTACTCTGGCGCTCGGGACGCGGGTGGGTGTGGGTGTGTGGGACGCGGAATAAAGTGGTCGGAGCTGTAGACACCCTGTGCAAGAGAATAAATGGACACACATTCCAGGATTCCCCATCGTCTCTCATATCTTCTGGGTTTTCGTCTTCCCCCCCACTTTGCATTTTTTCAATCCGCTCACCCCTTGTGGGTCTCTAGGCGTGTGAGATTAAACTCCCCCATAATCACCCCCCCGGCGACCCCAAACTGGCGATTCGACCCCCCCCCCTCGCCCAGCGCGACCCCGGACCGAACGCGTCACGGGGGAGCGGAGGGCTCCCAAGCTGGCCAAGAAGGCACCAAAACGCCTCCCAGACGGTCCCAGGGAGCCACGATTCGCCAAAATATCGCCCTGGACGCCCACGATGGCCTCCAGGCGGCCTCCGAAGCTGCCAAGACGCCCCAAAAGGCTTCCAAGGTGCGCCCAAGAAAGGTCACAAGAAACACAAATCGCCCCATCCCCATCGAACAACAAGCATTTTTCGCATGCTCGCCTATTCGGTTTTCACAACGTCCCAGACGGACAAAGAAACCTTCAATATCGCCCGAAGGCCTCCAAGAAGCCCCCAGGAAGCCCCTCAAGAGGCCCCAAAACTTGGCCCAAGATGCCTCAAGGCGGCCGGATATGGCCTGCAGACAGGACAAGATGCCACCAAATGGCCACACAACGATAACAGCAACGAAACAACAGGAACGATGTCGAGCGCCGTGTCACGATTCGGACAAGCCTCGTGAAATGCAGTCCTGGAGGCGCATAAGTTTATATAGGGGTCGGCGGATGTGGCGTAAGCCTATATACTCTTTTCCTAAGAATCGACGATTAATTGTGCCCGTGTATTTGTTCCCCTCTCGTCGCAGTAGACATCGCCCTCATAGTCGTTGTCACTGTCGCCCTCCTCGCCGCCGCCGTCGTCGTCGTCGTCATCCTGCCTGCTCCCCTCCCTCATCTCGAAGAGTAGCAGAGAATCAACACGCAAGAAACAATGAACAATGTTTCGAAACTGCTGCACCTTTTTCCGCGTCCCGTGTTCTTGGTCTCTTGGTGATCTTGTTATGTCAAGTGCGAACTCACCCATCCACACATGTGTGCGCCCTTGCTGTCAGGGCTAGAGCACGGGCCGAAGCCAGCGAACTCCACACGAGCCTGAACGCCAGCAGACCAGAAGATCCTTCCCGCCAGGAGGAGGAGGAGGCGGAGGAGCAGGAGGAGCAGGAGGAGGGGAGGAGGAGGAAGTAGGGGGGGAAGAGGGGAGGAGGAGGAGGAGGAGGAGGAGGAGGAGAAGGAAGATCTCCTCCCCTCCTTGGGGGGGTAAGTGGCAGTGGGCTTCCAAGCCGCGCCCGGCACGGCGATCCTCCAGGCCGGCGGCGCGCCGGGCCTCCAGCTCGCGCAGCTCCTCGACCAGCCTAGCCCCCCCAGGTGGTGGGACACCGTGGTCGTCTCGTCGACGTCGCCTTCGTCGTCGTCGTCGTCCTCCTCCTCCTCCTCCTCCTCCTCCTTCCCCAACTCGTCGTCCTCGTCGTCCTCGCGCAGCTGCTCGACCAGCCTGGCCCCCCCAGGGGGTGGGACACCGTGGTCGTCTTTCGTCCACCTACTCCTCCTCCTCCTTCTCCTCCTCCTGTCTGTGCCTCTTCCTCCTCCTTCTCCTCCTCCTCCTCCTTCTCCTCCTCCTGTCTCCTTCTCCTCCTCCTCCTTCTCCTCTTTCTCCTCCTCCTGTGTGTGCTCTCGCGTCCTGCCCTCCAGGGGGCCGCCGGGGGGGGTAAAAGAAGACAAAGGGGTAAAGGAAGGAAGATGGAGGACTGAACGGCGGAATCGACGCGGGAACAAGAGAGGGGAGGGGGGCTGGTGGCGGCTGGCGGCTTGCGTGCTCGTGGGGGGAAGGACCGAGCGTTCTCCTCTTCCTCCTCATCCGAGTGGAGCCTGTATGACAAAGGCCTGGGCAGCTTCAACGATTTTGGGAAATCGGCTGTTCAGCTCGCACGGGCGATTGATGAAGGGGGGATAAAGGCAATGTCGATGATCTCACGGGGCCTTCTGAACAGTTAAATGTCTGAATGGCCGAGGGGCTTTCGTGGTCACAGTTACAAGAGGCACTCTAACACATGAAACCGCTCAGAAAACATCGGGACAACCTTCAGAACAATCACCAGGACAACCGACAACACAACCCTCGGCACAAGCGTCGGGACAACCATCGGCACAACCGTCGGGACGAACCGTCGGGACCACCGTCGGGACAACCAGCGGCACAGCCATCGGGACAACCAGCCGCACAACGATCTGCCGCCAGGGCAACCATCGGGACGGCCCACGGGGCAGCCCTCAGGACAGCCATCGGCCAGCGGGACTGCTATCGGGACAGCCATCGGGACAACCGCCGGGACAATCCTCGGAGCAACCTGGCCTCCTCGCGCGCCGGAACTTGCCGTCGCTCGGAACGTCCATTTCCCGTGCACTTTTCGGATTCGTGCGTGTTTTTTTTTTTCTGCTCGATGGTCAAGGGTGGTCCTCGGTGGCCCTCGCCGAGGAAAAAAAAGCACACGTCCGAGCGGTGCCAAGGGAGGAGCTGGTCGGCTCACGTGGCAGGGGCCAGGCCCAACAGGAGCAGAGATGGAGGAGGGTGCGCCAGGGCCACGTCGGGGGGGGCGATTTTGCGGAGGCGTACACGTCGTGCCTTTCTAGCCGTGCTCATTTCTACAGTCAAAGCGTGTATTGAGGACGGGTGATAAGGACTGCAAGACCCTTGGAGGCCGAAGTTGGGTTTTTTAGGGCGGCGGGCGACCAGTGATAATGGCAAGGACGGGCCTCCGAGGCAAGGACACAAGGGTACCCTAGATGAAGGCGCGCGTCCTTACTAGGCGCGTTGATTGTAATTGTGCTCGTTTCTAATTGTTCCTGGCCCCCTGGTGACCAGGAAGAGGCCCAGGATAGAACACTTCGAAGTGAAAGGAGCGTGGCCCACCAAAAAGTCAAAGAAATTTCAAAGAATTAGAAATGACATATGTGTACAGTGGAGGCCAGTCCACAAGAAACCTTCCACAAGAAACCCAAGCCTGAGACCCCAGAACGTCTCAATGGATTTTACACGTGTGGGAACGTGGCGCTTTCCACGGCAAGACCATCGAAACCCAAGAAACCCAGGGCACGCTGGAGGCAAGCAGGCTGTTTCTTGGCATGGGCCCCCACTGTATACGGAGGCGCGTTCCCATGCGCAACCACGGCCCCAACATGCGCCGCGAGTCCCGTCCGACAAATGGCGCGACACTGGTCACTGGAGGTGCTGGCTGCTGGCGGGACTCGTTAGAGACAAGTGACACCCTCGTCGTCCTATCCTTTTCCCTCGCTGCCCCCGACGCTCCTCCTCTCATCCTCGTCCTCAAGCTCCTCCCCATCTCTCCTCCCATCCTCCTCCTCCTCCCCCTCACCATCCTCTTCATTATGTTTATGTGCCTCCTCTTTCTTCTCGCCCTACTTGTTCTGAGGAAAGCGGCTGCAACATATTCTCACATCGAGCTCAACTAGAGCAACACTCCCCCTCGGAATCGCGTCTTAACACGTCTCACTCACCCTTTTTCAAGAAACTGGGTGAACGCAACTCGCTCTCGGCGCACTCACGCTTCTCCGCGTCATCTCAATTTCATGCCGATGCTCCACTGCCTGTACCACCTTAGTCTCTCTCAAGTGTGAGAGGAGCCAGGTGAGTGTGACTCGGCGGCGGCCACCCTGATCATAGGGCGCCCTTTCCACGAGACCCATGAGCGACACATCATCACGCAAAGTGGTGCATGGAGCCCATCCGCTGTGAAAGGTGATGTTGTGGTACGCAATCCTCCCTGCAAGACCCAAACGACACACGTCCCGCTTCAAATAGGTGACCCTTGCCGATCCTGGGTCGACTCTGAAGACACCGATGCCAGTTACTACTGCCATGGAAATGTCAGGCACGCCCCCTTCGGAAATGGACCTCGGGCAAACGTGCTGTTCCGATACCAAAGATGAACTGCCACCCTCCGATACTTGGACCAAACCATGCGTGCTCCTGCTACCACATCGCCGTCGCCCAATTGACTTGCATGTCCAACGGCCGCTTTGAGCTTACGCTTGGCAATGATATGGGCAGGAACATGGGCGCCTTCCATTTGCTTGCATCTATGCTCCATCGCTAATGCTTCTACGAGACGTACAAACTTGTAGCCGTTTCCAAAAGCCGTCCCGCCCATACTATAGTCGTACGAGTAGCATTGAAGGACGCGTCGGCAAAGGTCCCTCCTCGAGTGCAAAATGTGTCGTCTGAGGATGAAGCAAAGAGCTAGCGCCACGATAACAGGAAGCAGTATACCACTCGTGTATGCCATGTCGGCGTTCACATTAAAATGTAAATGGTTTGAAAACTTTGCTCCGAGACGCTAGTTATAATGATCCGCTTGCTTTGGACACTCATTGGAAGCGTTGGGACCGAATACTTCTTTGAGCTTGTTTTGGTCCATGGTTTGGATTACTGTTTTGTACTGGATCGTCCAAATGTGCTGTTCTCTGTCCGTGCACTGGCCTGCATCCCTTGGCACGTAACAGAATTGCATAACGAGACTTTTGAAGTCATTGAGCGTGGTGATGCTAAGCAGACTGTAGTTGACGAAGCGACCTTCTAAAGCTATATTGGTACCCAGAACGGCAATTGCGAGCGGATTGCAATAGAGCGGAAATTCCCAATCTTGGATCGCCACGAGCACGTCGAGTAGGAGCACGGTGCCGGCGAGCATTGCTCGGCCTCGTTCGGTCAGTTCCCACATCGAAAACAACGATGTTGCCAAATCGTCGAACCTGAACCAGATCGCGTTGATTGCCGCGAGGCCCACAATCCGCCGACCCGCTGGGCACCAACGAAAGCAGTGCCCGCCACTACAGAACTCGATCTAAGCGGTGTGTTTCATTTTCGTTATGTTTTCGCTTCCCCTCGGGGCCACCTGCGCGGCTAGGCGGTGTGGGCGCAGATGCCCCGGGGCTCCTCGGGAAACGCTCTGGAGGGCCTGGAAGCCGCGCGCCGCCCCGGACCCCTGCATGCTGGGCATGGAGGAAGAAGAGGAGGAGGAGGGGGTCCTCCCCTCCTCCTCCTCCTCCTCCTCTTCCTCCTCCTCCTCATTCTCCCATTCCTTCCCCCCTTCAACTTGTGGTGGTGGTGGTGGAAAACAAACCCATCACTCCAGGCGGGCCCACGACGGCACAGGAGGGAGAACGCCGAGATCATGCAAGAAGACCGTGGGATGCCGGCAGGACCGCCCGAGAGGCCCCTCAAGACGACACCACAGGACCCAACGATCATCGTTGAACGAGGCCCAAACAAGCGCGCGACAGGCCGCAAGATAATGAAAACAGTCCAAACTGAAAAATCGCGGTGCGCGCTTTGGCCCAAAGTCTAGCCACATAAGCGTTTCCGAAAGGCAGGGGCCGGTGGTAGTTCGCAGTAGTTGACTTCGATGTTTGTTTTTCCAACCATCTAGTGGTGTTGGGTCCTCGTTTTGAGTATACAGCGCCCCGCGTTCCTCACTCCTTCTCCCCTTCCTCCCTCTCCCCATCCCTGCCATTGATCTCCGCATGACCATCCCATCTCGGCACACCTCTCATACGCTTTGTGACCATCGGGGGTTTCACCGGAGGCCCCAATGGCTGCGTCCACGTGCGTCCCGCGCCCATTTCGGCACACCCCTCACACGGTTCGTGGCCCCATAGGGAGCTCCACCGGAAAACCAAGTGGCTGCATCCACATGCGTCCAGCGCCCATGTCGGCACACCCCTCGCTCGTTCCGTGGCCCCCAAAGTTAGCTCCACCGAAGACCCCAGCGGCTGCGTCCTCATGCGTCCCGCGCCCGTTTCGGAACAGCCCTTACAGTGTTCGTGGCCCCACAGGGACCTCCACGGAAGGCCCCAGTGGCTGCGTCCACATGCGTCCCGCGCCCATTTCGGCACACCCCTCGCACGTTTCGTGGCCCAATAGGAAGCTCCACTGAAGGCCCCAGTGGCAACGTACACATGCGTCCCGCGCCCATTTCGGCACACCCTCTCACACGTTTCGTGGCCCCCATAGGGAGCTCCGCCGAAGGCCCCGGTGGCTGCGTCCACATGCCGCCTCCCCTTCATTTTGGCACACCCCGTTCCGGCTGACCTCCGCGCCCCATGCGGTCTGCCACAACGGCAGCGCCCGCATGGCGACCCCGCCCCATTTTCCCTTCTGTCGCTCTCTACACGCATTTTGCGGCTCCGTCGGGAGCTCCACCGATTGCGGTTCTCACGCTGGCGGTACCCACAACTGCAGATGAATGGTTGGGTCCTTCGCTAAGACATTGTTCTTAGCACGTCTCCCGGAGAGGTTCAAGATGCTCTAGTTGGGCCCCAAGAGGGCCCAAAGACTGCCCCAAGAGAGCCCAAAGGGCCCAAGACGGCCCAAGAGGGTCCCAAGACTGCCCAGAAGGATTCCGAACTGGCCCCCTAACGGACCCAAGGTGCTATCCAAACCGCCCGAGAGCGGATGGAGCGCTTGCCCGGCCGCATTCCTCGCGAAGCCGTGTCAATCACGACGGAGATCCATGGTGCGTAGATTCGAAATTTGCCTCTGCACCCAAACGTCCAAGCGTATCGTAGGTCTACGCTGCGACCGAAGAGCCGACATTTTCCCCACAAAGGGTAATGCGAGTGGTCTTGCATGATGACGTCAACAACCATGACGAGTGTGGCGAAGTCCAGGCAGAAGACAAAAGTCCCAACGATCTGTCCAAACATGCTCCATGTGATGCCGAACCCTGTGGTTAAGTACATACTGCTCTCTTGTTCGAAGGGCATGTCCCGTCGTGGCCTCGGTACCCCATTCCACTCCAACACTTGGTTCCACATCAACGCACAGCTCATTAAACACGCGGGTACCAAAAGGTATGGCAGAACACGCCCTGCGTATTTGTCTTTCAAGAGGCCCCAGCAGCACTTTCGAATCGCTTTCTCTGGGCACCTTTTTTCAAATTCGATCGCTCGTGCAGTGCGCAAGCCGAAGACAATCCCGATCGCAAAGAGAACATATCTTATGAAGTGGCCATACCACGGGATCGCGGGCACGATAGGGTTGACCAAATTCCAGATTAGCCCCAGCTTCCATATCGCTGCTTCAGCTTGCGAGTGGCTGGAAGGATCCAGTGCGAGAAGGATAATGTCAAAGAAAATGATTGCGAGCGGTGGGAGCATGCGGACCACAGGGTGACGAAAGGCATATAGGAAATGCGCAAAACCATGCTCGACGAGCTTGCTGCAATGGCTCCGTGGGTCCACTGTTTCCAACTGGTCAAGAAGGTCCTCAACACGGTTTGTTTGAACGTACCCCTCTTCATCTGCATGCTCATCGTCACCACCTCTGTCCGTGTTGACCGAGAAGAAAAACGAGCTCACAGCCCCACCAGCAAAAGCCCACGCAATGGCACACGTGGCAAGCAAGGAGTCGTTTGTCCAGGCCCTAGCCAGCATCAACTTGCGCCAATATGGATTCGAAGAATCCGTGGAGCGTGAGATCGATGCAGGGCTGTGAATTTTTGGACGGCCCCGGGACCAAGAGGCCTCCAGAGTCTTCCAAAGACATGCAAGACGGGCCGTCGCGATCCTTGTGCGGCGCCCGCATCGGAAGGGAGGACGATGCGTTTCCAGACATACGACGTCTTGACTTTTCCCAATACGGGGTCCAAGGAAATCCCGAGCCTTTGCATCGGGCCGGCTCTGCATCCCGAAACCTTTTGTTGGCGGCCCCGGGGCCAGCGAGAGCTCCCCAGAGGCCGAACACGGAAGAGTCCTACCTCTTCATTCTCTCGCGAAGCGCTGCTGGAGGAGGGAGGGGCAATGTCAGTGGAGGGGCAGCTCAGAGAGGGGGATGAGGAGGAGGAGGAGGAGGAGGAGGAGGAGGAGGAGAAGGAGGAGGAGGAGGAGGAGGAGGAGAAGGAGGAGGAGGAGGAGGAGGGGGCGGAGGAGGAGGAGGGGGAGGGGGGGAATCGTCGACCTGCTCGCGGCGGTACATGGGCCGATATAGAGCGGCTATAGCAGGCCCCCAATGGTGAGCGAAGCCGCACGTTCCGGGGCTGGGCGGGCTCTCTGGCCCCCATCGGCGATGAACGGGCGATGATGATGACGATGATGACGACAATGACGACGACAATGACGATCATGATGGCGATATTGATGACGATAACGTCGACGATGACGATCATGATGACGATAATGACGATAATGATGACGATAGTGATGACGATATTGACGACAATGATGATACTGATGACGAAACTGACGACAGTGATGACGATGACGCTGACGATGACGATGACGATGATGGTGATGCTGATGATGATGATGATGATGATGATGATGATGATGATGATAATGATGATGATGATGATGATGATGATGATGATGATGATGATGACGATACTGACGACAATGATGACGATCATACGGATGACGATAATGACGACAGTGATGACGATAATGACGATACTGGCGATACCGATGGAGAGCCCGCTCGGCGGCCTGAGCCCGCTCGGCGGCGGAGCCCCGCCCTTTGCGCCCTCTCGACGGCCGAGCCTGCCCGGCCGCCGAGTGCGCAGCCGAAGGGGCCCCGTTCCGACGGGGTCGTGCGAACTGCGCCCCCGTTCCGAGGGCCGCTTCGAGCTCGAGAACGCTCGGCGGCCGAACGCGCTCGGACGCCGAACGGGCCCCGCTCCCTGGGCATTGCCTCGTTGTGGCCCAGGCCTCCCAAGCCCAGATCTCCTCCTCCTCCTCCTCCTCCTCCTCCTCCTCCCAGGCCTCGCAGGCCGCCTCCCAGGCCAGCGGATCTTCCTCGGCGTGGTCCTCCAGGGCCCGTCCCCGTGCCCTGGGACCATCTGCAACTGGGCGAAAAGCTGTCCCCGGGGAGGGGGTGGGCACCTCACGGGGGTAACGCTGCTCCTGGTTTTCGGACCACAGGTGGAAGTCGGGCACGTCCTCTTGCAGGTGGCGTTTGAAAGAACAAGGACCCATAGTCTCAACGAAAATGGAGCATAGCCAAACGAGCACGACAGATCGTCCAGCATTTGCTCACGATCCTTGGGTCTTATGCCTCCTGCAGAGGGACATGCCCGACTCAACCGTAGGCCGGCTCTCTGGCGGCCGTTCGGGACGATGCGGACAACCCCGGACGCCCCCCACGACGAGGCGCAGCGGCGGGGACGCATCCCGAGGCCGGAGGGCCGAAGAGAGCCGACGGAAGCGCCCGAACACCGCGACCCTGACGCGTGCAGCAGGAGCTCGACCACAGGGAGCCTGCCACAAGAGACCCAACCCCCCGAGACCCCAGGATGTCCACGGATTTCTGGTGTGGGAGCGTCACGCCTTCCATGGGAGGGCCATCGACGCCCAGGAACAACCCAGGGCACCCTGGATGCAAGGAGGGTGCGTCTTGGCGATGGGTGATCGCTGCTGCTTTTTGGGAGCCTGGAGCCGCCTGCCCGAACCGAACATGTGCTCAGGCACTCAAGCTGTTGCCACCCGCTCATGCCTGACCCACCCCAAGGTCGAGGACCATGACGAAGAGGAGGAACGGCTGAAGCAGATGTCAGGGGGAGATAGGCTTGGTCATAATTGACCCGTCGTGGGCAAACACATCGTTCAAAAATCATACCTTGGACTCGGCTTCAAGCTGATCGCTCGTGGAAGTCGCCGAATTCATTCAGCCGCCACAGATTCATGACTTAGGCAAGATTGACCGCATTCAGGCACGCGCCAGGAGCTGGAGTTGAGACAATGAGTCTCCTCCTCCCCCCCCCCACCACCCCACTCCCTCCCCTCCTTCAGCAGCAGGCAGAGGCATAAGAAAGCGGTCAATCCGCCGCAGGTCTGAGGGAGGGGAAGGATGGGGGAGGAGAGGAGGGGGAAGACGAGAAGACTGGGAGGACGAGGGAGAGGAGGGTGTGGGGGAGGAGGGGGAGGAGGAGGGAGAGGAGGGGGCGGGTCTGAGGGAGGGAAGGATGGGGGAGGAGAGGAGGGGGAAGACGAGAAGACTGGGAGGACGAGGAGAGGAGGGTGTGGGGGAGGAGGGGGGGAGGAGGGAGAGGAGGGGGCGGGTCTGAGGGAGGGGAAGGATGGGGGAGGAGAGGAGGGGGAAGACGAGAAGACTGGGAGGACGAGGGAGAGGAGGGTGTGGGGGAGGAGGGGGAGGAGGAGGGAGAGGAGGGGGCGGACCAGCACGAGGAGGGGGAATGACAGGAGAGGGAAGACAAGGAGCGGGAGGAGGAGGAGGAGGAGGAGGAGGAGGAGGAGGAGGAGGACGAGGAGGAGGAGGAGGAGGAGGAGGAGGAGGGGGAGGGGGAGGAGGTGGAAGCGATCGGTTGTGGCATCACGCCAGGGGGCTCGTGGCCTCCTCACGTCGCCGTCCAGGCTCGAGATGATCTCCCACATGCCCTCGTCCTGCACCAGGGCGAGGGCGCGATGAGTGAGCATCGAGGGTCAAGGGTCGAGGATCGAGGAGCGAGGATCGGATTATCAGGGTCAGAGGAGCGAGGATCGGGGAGATCGGGGATCGAGGGGCGGGGGTCGGGCATCGAGGCTCGGGGTTCGGGGATCGGGGATCGGGGATCGGGGGTCGAGGATCGGGGATCGGGGATCGGGGATCGACGATCAAGGATCTCAAGGACGTCGAGGGTCGGGGAGCGAAGGGTCGGAGGGCGAAGGGCCGCGGAGGGTCGAATAGGGCGGCGGCGCCCGTGGAGGCGGGGGGGCGGGAGGCGGGCGGCGCCGCACGGGGAAGGCGCGGAGGTCGAGGAGGAGGAGGAGGAGGAGGAGGAGGAGGAGGAGGAGGAGGAGGAGGAGGAGGAGGAGGAGGAGGAGGAGGAGGAGGGGGGGGAGGAGGGGGGGGGGAGGGGGAGGAGGAGGAGGAGGAGGAGGAGGAGGAGGAGGAGAGGAGGAGAGGAGGAGGAGGAGGAGGAGGAGGGGGAGGAGGCGGAGGAGGAGGAGGAGGAGGCGGAGGAGGAGGAGGAGGAAGAAGGGAAGAGGAGGAGGAGGAAGAAAAGGAGGAGGAGGAGGAAACGGAGGAGGAGGAGGAGAAGGGGGAGGAGGAGGGAGGAGGGAGGAGGAGGAGGAGGAGGAGGAGAGGAGGAGGAGGAGGAGGAGGAGGGAGGGGAGGGGGGGAGGAGGAGGAGGAGGAGGAGGAGGAGGAGGAGGAGGAGGAGGAGGAGGAGGAGGAGGAGGGCGGCGAAGGCGGGCGGCGCCGGCGGGCGGCGCCGGACGACAGTGGAGGCCACTCCACAAAAAACCGTCCACAAGAGACCCAACCCTGAGACCCAAGAGCGTCCATCGATTTTTGGTGCGGGAACGTCAGGCTTTCCACCGCAAAACCATCGAAACCATCGAAACCCAGGGCACCCTGGAGGCGAGCAGTGTGTTTGTTGGCATGGGTCTCCACTGTGCAGAGTTGGTTTACCCCAGACTTGAGTTCCCACATCGAATCTATGACGAACGCGTATCTATTTCACAACTGTCCTGGACACTCTGTATCTTTCCCGTGGATCGACGGGGAAATCCAGTTTGGAGTAAAGCAATGCTGTAGTCGATCCCCTACTCGAGCCCTCGTCCCGCTTGTACCAAGCCGCGCACAATACTCGCTTCAAGCCCTCATACTCGCCCTTCAACCTGCTCTCTCCTCCCTTCCCGGCCTTTTTCCTTGCTCTGGCCTGAACACTGCTCAGGCCCGAGAATCCGCCGACCTTGTCGGCGTGTGTGAGGGTCTTGTCTGTTTGCATCGTCGCCTCCGTCTGTCGTCTCCGTCGTCCCCTTTCCCTGCGCCCTCCTCCTCAAGCCTGTCAGCGAGACAAGCATCTAGCAATGCCGTAATCGAGTCTAATAGAGGGTCCGTCCCTTTGATCCCTCCCCCGTCGGGGGGGGCGATCCTGGTGAGTTCCCAGGGGGGTCCCCGGGGGGGCAGGGACGGGGGTCAGATACGCATCCTCCCCGGAGGTCTTGGGGACTCAGAAAAGAGAATGCCAAGACAGACCAAGAGTACCTCAAGAAGCCCCGAGACGGTCCAAGAGAGCCCCCAATCGCCAAAGTATCAATCGAAAACGCTTTCACGACCTCCACACTGCCCAGGAAACCTGCAAGACGCCCCAAGAAACTTCCCAGAGCACTCCCGAGGGCCCCACGCGGCACAATTCACGGATTACACTTTGGTTATTCTCGCCTTTTCCTATCCCCGCCGCTCCAATACGGCCCAAAAAACTACCAAGATCGCCCCAAGAGGCCTCCAAGAGGGCCCCGAAAACACCCCAATTGACCCCAAGACACCCCACATAGCCTCCAAGACGGCCCAACAGGCCCCCGCCCCGAGACAGCCCAAGAGGCCCCCAAGACGGCCCCCAAAGCCCCAAGATGCCCGAGAAGGGCCACAAAAGGTCCCCAGGAAGCCCGGAAAGGCCCCAAGAGGCCCCAGAATTCCTCCTGAGAAGCCCCTGGAAGCTTTCCGAAGAAATCAAAAGAACCATTCCTCTGGCCCACGTCAGCGTCGTCGTCGTCGCCGCCGCCGTTGTCGTCGTCGTCCCCTTTCACAGGGTCGGCGGCACTGGCCGTAAGGCCTTTGCAGACATGCCAATCCTTGTGTTTCCCCCCTCGTTTCACAGACCACCTCCTCCTCCTCCTCCTCCTGTGTACGCAGCTCCCTTTTCTCTCTCCGACTGCGCATATAACACCAACTCCCCAAACTGTGCTTGCGCTTCGAATATCTTGCTTCTCTTCTAAAATCCTTGGTCTGCCGATCAGTATGGCGGCTATGTGGTCGCCGTCGATTCGTCGACACGACCTGCACAAAGTGCATTACTTTTCCAAGAGCGCTGCCTTGCAAGCGGACGGTGTGACGCTCCGCTCAGCGGGGCTGGAGCCAGGGGAAAACTCGAGGAGCTGACGCTTCGGAACTGAACTGGGATGTGGCTGACGTGTCGCGCCGACGCATGGTGGGCCAGAACCGGCGGCGCGACACGCTAAGGCAACATTCCCGACCGCAAGGTGGCCAAAACCTGTCCACGGGGCCATCGGAAGATAAGAGCTTTCCGCGGGGCACCTGCTGGCGAGGCGATCTCTTTCCGGTGCGCATGCTGTGCCCCGCTCCCTCCGGCTCTGGAGGCGAGGGGCAGGCTGCGGAGACTGCGCGTGTGCGGACTTCTGTTGGGGGTTGTGGCTTGCCTCGCTCCTCTTCTTTCTCCCCCCCCGATCGAATCGTCAAGGGCTGGCCGGGCCCCTGGCTCCGATTGCTTTCTCTCCCCGGACGGGGTGATTCCCGACCGCCATCTCTCCCCGCGGAGGAGGGGACGCTTTGCAAAACAAATGTCGACATGGGGGGGCGGTCCTACCCTCCTCCCATACACTACCGCATCAACCGTATCGCTGCTCGTCCCTCTCCTCCGCCGGCTCATGTTTTGCGACGTGGGCTCCTGAGGCCCTCGACATCTTCACCGGAAGCGTTTCTAATCCAGGCGTCGTTTTTGGTCGGGCCCGGGCCCAAGAAACGGATCCTGGAGGCCAGAATTCGAAAATGGAAAAGAAGCCGTCGCGACGTTGGCTGCGTCGCCCGATCAGGCCACACGATCTGCTGGCCGGGGTGACCAGCGCAGGCTCGTGTCGCGACGACCTTGGCGTTGGCTCTTCTGACGCCGCGTGGACCTTTCAACCTTGAACGGTCGGCGAAATTCGGATATATGGAAGATCGTTCCATGTCAGCCGACTCCGGGCCACTTGCGGCGTTCAACTTGGAACGCCCGCGGCGGGGTGGCTACTGCGTCGGCACGACACGAACTCACCATATGAATGCGCTGTGCCTGTTTTTGCCTGCGGCTCTGCCAGCGCTGTTTGACAAGGTGGCGGAGAGTGGGGGGGAGGAACGCCAAGCAAGTCAGTTGACCTGACGCTAAAAGAGGACACCTCCAACTCCGAGGGTCAACCCTGGCGATCTACTGGTCAGGATCACTACGGCTAATTCTTGCCGTGACCACCTCTGCGTTGGTTTCAGAGACCGCGTGGGCCCTTCAACCTTGACAGATCAGCGGCTTTGCGACGTTAGGCAGATAGTTCCATGTCGGCCGATTCCAAGCCTCTTGCGGCGTCCGACCTTGAACGTCCGCAGCGGGGTCGCTGCCGCGTCGGCACGACCCGATCCGACAATATGCTTGCGTGGTTTGAAGAAAAAGCGGCGGAGACGAGGGGGGTGACTGCCATGCAAAAAACCTTACCTGAATTCACACAACAAAACATACATTTTAGAATCAGCGTGGACAATATCTTGCTGGCCAGGGTCACTCCTGCAGGTTCGTGTCGTGAAGGTCTCGGCGTTGGTCTCTGTCACTGCGTGGACCCTTCAACCTTCAACGGACGGCGGCTCTCCGATATACGGCAAATTGCCCCATGCAGCCAGTTTCCTTTATTCGCGAGAACGCCCATGACCAGCCATGCCGCCCCCCCCCCCCGCCCTCGCTCACGTCACGATTCCCGCCTGCGCCGCCCGTCCAGGAAGGGGCCAATTCCACAGCACTCCAAGACGAGGGGGCCACATGCGAACCCTACCCCTGCCCCCCACGATTTCTGGGGGGGGGAGGGTGGGGTTCCCTTCGTCCGGGAGCTCCCGAGCGACGTGAACCCCACCCTCCCCCTCCAGAAATCGTGGGGGGTAGGGGTAGGGCTCGCAAGTGGCCCCCTGCAGACCGCGCTGGCGCGAGTCGAGGCGTGACGGCCCCCCTCGGTCACGCGCGTCTTCGCCGGCGCAGCGAGCGACAGAGACCGGCACACGCCCCGCGCCAGCCGTCCACGAATCACCCCCATAGTCGCCGCGAGGGGCCGCGGAACGCAAGGTCACCGGAGGAGTGGCCCAACCATGCGCAGTGGTGAGCACCGCGTTGCAGGTAAGGTAATTCGTGCTTTTGGTGAAGCTCCCTATCGGGCAACGGTCCTCGCGAGGGGTGTGCCGAGCGGGGGGACGCATGCGGACCCTGCCACGAGGGCCTTCGGTGGGGCTCCCTATGGGGCCATGACCCTCGTGAGGGGTGTGCCGAGATGGGCAGGGGGAAGCATGCGGACCCTGCCTCTGGGGCCTTTGGTGGAGCTCCCCATGGGGCCACGATCCTCGTGAGGGGTGTGCCGGAATGGGCGGGGTGACGCATGTGGACCCTGCCACTGGGACATTCGGTGGAAATCTATATGGGGCCACGACCCACGTGAGGGGTGTGCCGAAATGGGCGGGGGGACGCATGCGGACCCTCTCACTTGTGCCTTCGGTGGAGCTCCCCGTGGGATCACGATCCTCGTGCGGGGTGTGCCGAAATGGGCGGGGGGACGCATGCGGACCCTGTCACTAGGGCCTTCAGTGGAGCTCACCATGGGGCTACGATCCTCGTGAGAGATGTGCCGAGATGGGCAGGGGGACGCATACGCACCCTGCCACTGGGGCCTTCGGCGGAGCTCCCCATGGGGCCACGAAACGTGTGAGGGATGTGCCGAAATGGCGGGGGGCAGAGACGGGAGGAGGGAGGAAGAAAAGGAGTGAGTGGACGCGGGGCGCTGTCTCTTCAAAGCCAGGACCCAGAACCGCAGGATGGTTTGGAAAACCACTCTCTGTGAAATTCAAGGCTCCCATGAAACCATCAAAATTAGCCTGGCGGAGGACCCAACCACATGCAGTTGTGAGTCCCTCTGGGGACAAGAAGCATGTGAGGGGTGTGCCACGATGTGTGCGCGGGCGCATGCGCACGCAGCCACTGGGGCCTTCGGTGGAGCTCCCTTTGGGTCCACGAAACGTGAAAAGGGTGTGCCGAAATGGGTGCGGCGGGCCCATGCGAACGCAGGCAATGAGGCCTTCGGGGGAGTTCCCTACGAGGCCACAGGACGTCTGACGGGTGCGCCGAAATGGGTGCGGCGGGCGCATGCGGACGCAGCCACTGGGGCCTTCGGTGGAGCTCCCTTTTGGGCCACTGAAAGGTTGTGCCGAAATACGTGCGGCGGGCCAATGCGAACGTAGCCACTGGGGCCTCAATGGAATTCCTTACGGGGCCACGAATAATGTACTGGGTGTGCCAAAAACGGTGCGGCGGGCGCATGCGAACGTAGCCACTGGGGCCTTCGGTGGAGCTCCCAGGGGGGCAACGAAACGTGTGAGGACAACGAAACGTGTGAGGATGTGCCGGAAAATGGGCGCGGCGGGCGCATGCGAACGTAGCCACTGGGGCCTTCAGTGGAGCTCCAGATGGGTCACAAAGTGTCTGAGGATGTGCCGAAATGGGTGCGGCGGGCCCATGCGAACGCAGCCACTGCGGCCTTCGGTGGAGTTCCCTACGAGGCCACGGGACGTGTGAGGGGTGTGCCAAAATGGATGCGGCGGGCGCATAAGCACGCGGCCACTGGGCCCTCAGCGGAGCTAACTCCCTATGGGGCCACAAAGCGTGTGAGAGCTGTGACGAAATGGGCGCGGCGGGCCCATGCGAACGCAGCCACTGGGACCTTCGGTGGAGCTCCGTTTGGGGCCACGAAACGTGAGAGGGCTGTGCCGACATGGGCGCGGCGAGCGCATGCGAACGCAGCCACTGGGGCCTTCAGTGGATTCCCCTACGGGGCCACGACACATGAGAGGTTTGTGCTAAGATGGGAGCGGCGGGCGCATGCGAACGCAACCAATGCGGCCTTCGGTGGAGCTCCCTTTGGGGCCACGAAACGTCTGACGGGTGTGCCGACGTGGGTGCGGCGGGCGCATGCGAACGCAGCCACTGGGGCCTTCGGTGAAGCTCCCTATGGAACCACGAAGCGTGTGAGGGGTGTTCTGAAACGGGTGATGACGATGATGCTGCTGATGATGATGACGACGATGATGCTGATGATGCTGCTGCTGATGACGATGTTGATGATGATGACGATGATGGTGGTGATGATGATGCTGGTGATGATGATGATGCTGATGATGATCATGATGATGAGATGAGGAGGAAGGGGGCAGCAGGAGGATGAGGAGTGGGCGCAGGGACCGGACCGTCTCACCAAAACGAGGACCCAACGCCACATGCTGGTCGGGAACATTCTGCACCGCTGCGTGGCAGATCCTTCCCTGCCGGCCCCTCCCAGGCCGCTGGCGGCGCCCGACCCTGGGCCCCGTGGCCCGCTCGTGCGCGCAGCCGCGCCCGCCCCCCGGGAGGAGGAGGAGGAGGAGGAGGAGGAGGAGGAGGAGGAGGAGGAGGAGGAGGAGGAGGATGACGAGGAGGAGGAGGGAGAGGAGGACTCGGCCGCCCGAGCCTGCGCCTGCGCGGTGCGGTCCTTTCCCGCGTGCGGCCCCTGTCCGGCCCGGCGCGCCGCGCGCGCCGCGCGCGCCGCCTCAGAGGAAGTCGCGGGGCGGTCGCCGGGAGCCCCTGCGGCCGGCAGCCGGCCACCCCGCGAGCAGCGCGGCGGACGGCGCCACGGAGAGCTCGAAGACGTGGTAGGGCTGGCCCCTCGGCGTGCTGGCGCCGTGGGGGCCGATGTCCACGCACTGTCCTCGGCCGAGCGCGAGGGCCCAGATCTCCGACGATCTGACTTGCTGTCGGTCCCGGCGGATATTCTGTCTCCGTGGGCGGCTATAGGCAGAGGGTGACTGCCCTGGCGAGGAATGGCATGGACGGGGGCACCGTTGCGCCGAAGTGTGTGTGTGTGTGTGTCACCAGGCAGGAGGAGGAAAGGGGGGGGGGCGCGCCCAGAAGAAAAGAAGGATACGGCGGGCGGCTCAGGGGTCCGAGCGCTCCCCGAGCGCGTGGCGTGGCCGGCCCCGCCGCCCTGCGCGCGGCGGCTGCGCTCCTCCTCCTCCCTAGGGATCCTCCTCCTCCTCCTCCTCCTCCTCCCCCTCCTCCTTCTCCTCGCAGATCTCCGAGGGTCTGATTATTGCTCCGTCCGGGCGTTCTTCTTCGATCTCGGACGTCGGGGGCCCATCTCGTCGAGCCGATCGGCGCCAGCACACATGGATCCCGGGACGAACGGCGGGCCCCTGGGGAAGGGGTCGGGACCTCCGGGGCCGCGCGTTGAAAGAAACGCCCGGCAGAAGTCCGGGAGACAGGGCTGGACCTGAACATCGGTTTTCGTTTAGTTTTCCTTCTGTGTTTCGTTCTGCTCTACCTGTTTTCCTGTACCTCCCTGCCCAAACGAACAACAAAACACAGCCGAAATCCAGCAAAACAGCGTTTAGGTCTCGCCCTGCTGGGAGAGTGGCCCTTGGCAGCGGGGACCGTGGGTGCGAAGCTTCCCATGGGAGCGGAGAAGCCAAACCCAAGGTGCAGGAGCCGCTGCTGTCGCATCGCGTGCAGCGCTCAGAGGCCCCCCTGTGGGCGCACACACACACAGACACACACAGACACACACACACACACACACACACACACGCACGCACGCACGCACGCACGCACGCACGCACGCACGCACGCACGCACGCACGCACGCACGCACGCACGCACGCACGCACGCACGCACGCACGCACGCACGCACGCACGCACGCACGCACGCACGCACGCACGCACGCACGCACGCACGCACGCACGCACGCACGCACGCACGCACGCACGCACGCACGCACGCACGCACGCACGCACGCACGCACGCACGCACGCACGCACGCACGCACGCACGCACGCACGCACGCACACACGCACACACGCACACACGCACACACACACGCACACACGCACACACGCACACACGTACACACACACACATCAAAGTCGCTCGGGCAAAGGGCCACTCTTACTCGCGCCAGCAGGCGTCCCACGTCGTCGGTCAGCACCCGCATGGTGGCGCCCCCGGCGAACTTCTGCAGCGCCACTCTCTCGTCGCCGACGCACTTCGTGCCCAGCCCGATCAGCCCGCTGGCGGCACTGCCGGACACCTCGTCCACCACCTCTCGGTCGCCGGAGGACTCGTCCTGCATGTGCTTGAGATTCTGCATCATGTTGCACCGCAGCGCCGCTCCTTTCGGCTTCAGGTTGGCGCTTTTCTCTGCCTTTCCGCCCATGCCCATGACATTGCTGCCGATACTGGACAGAGCTTTGTCCGCGCCCGGCGGCACGCGGACAGGATCGGCCTCGACGGAGAAGTCCTTCCAAGGGGACCGCTGTTCGCAACAGTGGTACCAGAGGTCGGTCTGCGCGTCGTGGATGTACTCCTCGCGCTCGTCCACCTCGTCCCGCTCTGGGGTGACGCGGGGAGGCTTGGCGCCTGGCCACCTGGGGGGAGGACGCCGCTCGCCAGGGGGCTCGCCGCACTTCTCGATCTTCTCGCCCACCACTTCCTGGGGTGGCAAAAACATGCACACATCCAATCATACGTGCGTGCTTGGGGACTTGAGCGCGCTCGCGCACATGTGCACCGGTGCATTCGTGAGCGTGCAGAATGAAAGTGTATATAAGGAAACAGGTATGTACATACATCCGTGTATACATAAACTATAGGTGTACTCATGTGTTTGTGTTCACGCAAGCGTACGGGCACGTCGTGCACATACAACTGCTGATGTGCATGCGCATTCATATGCACCTGTATACGTCGATGTGAGCATGTGTATACATGGGGCTACGGTCGGAAACCCTTGCATTGCGTGTCGCGGCGAAGGCCCCGGCGGCACGCTGTGCCCTACGAGCCGATAGCGCGTCGCTCCGCTCCGCGGCTGGGCTGGGAACAGCTCGAGACGCTGGCGCTTGGAAGTGGGAGTGTGCATGGCGCGTCGCGCGGAGGCGTGGTAGGGCCAGCACAGGCGGAACGACACGCCGAGGCACCATTCCGGACCCTACAGGTTTGGGCGCCGGCGCGCGCACAACCGCAGGACCAAAAGGAAAAACGCCAGGGGCAGGCCGCTGTTGTCTCGATGGGTGCTGAGGAGCATAAGAGAAGCGCCCCTTATAACCCTTTCGGGGGAGACCAACGTTCGGAGCACAAGCAAAAGCATTAGGGATGGGGGGTCTTGTCTGCAGATGCATCTGACGAAGCTACTTTGTACGATCCCAGATGTGAGGTCGGGCATGTCCTCTTGGAGGCGGACTTTGGGCAACAATGGAAATATCGTGCAAACAGATTCGGAAATAGTCAAATAATAAAATCGTCCCCATACATTTTTTTGAATATTTTTGAATATTCCTCCAGTAGAGGGACGTGCCCGACTTAATCCTACGGGGGCAGCAGTGAGGCCACGCCTGCACTATGTTATCAAGGCTGGGGAAAATTATTCTCGATTAGCTACTTCTCCGAAGCGCGTTTTATTGAGCAGGGACCGACCGTCCGGGTATTCCTACAGGCCTACCACGAAATCGTCGTAGAATCCAGAACTGTTCTAGGAACAAGAGCAACGCTCTCAGAACGCAAGCCCGATGTGTGAAAACAAGACTGCCCCAGCCAGATATGTTCTAAAAACATGTCGTGCAGACCGCGACATGTTCCGAGATCATCGCTTGGTAAGCCTGTACGCAAGCCAGGACGCCTGGCCACTGCTTGATTTTCTCCTTCTCGTCCTTGGATGTTCCCCCAGTGGAGGGACGTGCCCGACTTAATCCTACGGGGGCCGCAGTGAGGCCACGCCTGCACTATGTTATAAAGGCTAGGGGAAATTATTCTCGATTAGCTTCTTCTCCGAACTGCATTCTCTTGAGCATGGACCGACCGTCTGGGTATTCTTACAGGCCTACCACGAAATCGTCGTAGAACCCAGAACTGTTCTAGGAACAAGAGCAACGCTCTCAGAACGCAAGCCCGATGTGTGAAAACAAGACTGCCCCAGCCAGATACGTTCTAGAAACATGTCGTGCAAACCGCGACAGGTTCCGAGACCATTGCTTGGTGAGCCTGCACGCAAGCCAGGACGCCTGGTCACTGCTTGACTTTCCCCCTTCTCGTCCTTCCCCCGGAAGAGGTCCCGCAGCCTCCGGCACCCCGGCGTGAGCCCCTCCGCACTGCGGTTGCTGCAGTCCTTGATGAAGCTGCTGGCCCACCGGGGCCCCCGCGGCGCCCCTCCCGGGGAGCCCGGGGAAGCAAAACTTTGCGACGCCGTGCGAGGCAGAGTGTTTCGTTGAGGTCGGGCAGGTCCCCCTACAGGCGCATCTTGGAAAAACAAGAACACATAGACAACAAATGCCCAACCATATTATAAAACAAGAAAAATCGTCCCTGGACTATTTGATGACTAGTTTTGAATACTCCTCCTGTAAGGAACACGCCCAACTTCATGCCTCGGCCATGTTCCTCGCGTCCCCCCCCCCTTGCCGCCCAGAGCAAGAGAGGGCGCCCGCGAGAAGTTTGGCCCCAGGAAATCTGAGGGCTCGCCTGCGAGGCAGCTGGGGCTGAGAACGCCCTCCCAGCGCTACGGCAGGACACCGTTGCGCTTCGGCCACAGCGTGGCGTGTCGCAGTACGTGTTCCGCACGTGATAATGGCTATGTGCCTATGTGCGCTGCGTACTGACCCTTCTGCTTGCTTGCGGAGACCCAGCGGTTCTGGAGGATGTGTCGGGCACCGCGGCCTTCGCAGAGCGTCCGGGAACGCTCCGAGATCATTCCAGAACGCTCTGGAACGGACTTGTCCTTAGGTCGGGTATGTCCTCCTACATGCGGGTTTTGGAAGAAAAACTGGGAATCAGCCGAACAAATTCAAAGCATGCGAAACAGTAGGCAAAAACACACACACGACAAAATGTCGCCAGACTATCGTTTTAAACTATTCTTGCGTATTCCTCCTGTAGAGGGACACGCCCGACTTAAACTTATCCTTGTCCTAGCCCCGCCCGCTCCCGATCGTACCCGATTTGGGAGCGCCCAAGAGGGGGGCGTCCAACAGGGGGGTGTGCAAATCATGGCCCGAGGCACGTGCGCGGACCAGGGGGGGGGGCCAGGGAACGCACTGAGATGAGAAGAGGCGCCATGAAAGCTGGGGAGACATCACGGCCCTCGCCATGCGATCCACCTTCCTCTAGACAAGTCATCACCCACCTCTTTGCCGCCCCCGACGAATGATCTGTTCGGGTGTTGCTAGAAGTGCCCCTGGCCCAAGGTGCCCCCAGCTTCTCGCTCCACTTTGGAGCCCGTGGGGCCCTCTGGGCCTCGTGAGGGGTGCCCTGGAGGCCGCCTGGGCCACCCCGAGAACCCTGGGGGTACCTTGGGCCAGGGGTACTTCTAGCAACACCCGGCAATTTCCTCGGGAGAGGTGTCGGCTCGACCTCCGCCAGTGGGAGACGTGCGCGAGGGACTTTCGGGCCCCCGATGTAAGAACGAGTTCCCCTCCTCCTCCTCCTCCTCCTCCTCCTCCTCCTCCTCCTGCTCCTGCTCCTCCTCCTCCTCCTCCTCCTCCTCCTCCTCCTCCTCCCTCTCCTCCCTCTCCTCCCTCTCCTCCCTCTCCTCCTCCAGGAGTACTTCCAGCAACACCCGATCAGTGGACGTCCCCGAGCCTCGCGCTGGGGCGCCCACCCCGCGGGGTGCCGGCCACAGCTCCGCGCCGCAGGCCGCCGCGCCCGCCGCGCCTGCGGGCCCGAGGCCCGCCAGGCGCGGCGGCATGACCGCGACCAGCGCCGTCGGCCAGTGGCCGGGAGGGAGAAGGGAGGAGGAGAGCGGAGGAGAAGGGAGGAGGAGGAGGGAGGAGGGACGACGAGGAGGGAGGGAGGGAAGGGTGGAGTGATGGGGGGCAGGAGGAGGAGAGGAGGAGGAGGAGGAGGAGGAGGAGGAGGAGGAGGAGGAGGAGGAGGAGGAGGGGGAGGAGGAGGAGGAGGAGGAGGAGGAGGAGGAGGAGGAGGAGGAGGGAGGGAGGAGGGGAGGAGGAGGAGGAGGAGGAGGGGAGGAGGAGGAGGAGGAGGATGAGGAGGAGGAGGAGGAGGAGGAAAAGGAGAAGGAAGGAACGGATTAGGGAGGTACAGGAGGGACAAGGAGGGAGGAGAGGGAGGAGGAGGAGGGGGAGGAGAAGCAGCAGCAGGATGACAATTAGGGAAGGAGGGATGAGGGAGGGAGAGAGGAGGAACACCGAGCGGAGGAAAAGTTGTTGGATGCCTAGGAATGGGGAGGAGGACGGGGGCCTTCAGACCCTGGCGTCGCAACACGTATCGACGGATGGGTACGTACCGACGAAGACGACAAAACCGAATCTGAACAAAGACGCGCAGTGATTGCCGCGCTACCATTGGAACAGGCCAATGATTTGGAGAAACACCTCATCTACCTGATACCCAAACATATGGGCCCACGAGAAGCCGACATGGACAATACCGACCAGATCCACAAGGTGCTGTCCGCACACTTGCAGAAGAGGGCAGACTTTCAAGACGCCGAGCGCAAAACAATCCACTCGCAGAAGCACGACATCACGTGTACACTCCACGCGACGGTTCAGAACGGCAACGCCTTGGACCAGAGCGAGGCCCTACCTCTCCTGCTGTACTTGACTGACACACTCGCCGCCATGGGAGCCAAGGGTATGCAGCGACAACCTATTCTTCGAGAAAAACAGCCTGCACATGCCGCCTCAGACCCGAGCATGCCTTCACGCAGGTGAAGGGCACCCCAACGGCGATCTGTTCCCAATGGTCGAGGTCACCGACGAGGAGCTACACTACCTACAGAACTACAGGGCGGTGTACGGGGTGCCCATCAACCACTACAACAAGATCCAGGAGAAGTACGAAATAAACCTCGACTAACCCGTACATGGCGACCCGCCTTGGCCTGATTTTGAAGGCGTACCGTGGCACGCGCCAACCGTCGTCACATACGGCGAGGAGATCGCGGGCAGCCAGACCCATGGGCAGAACCAGCTCGCATTCTTGTCTACGGCTGCATGGAAACCCCAGTAGCCGACATCCACAACCTGATGTCGCACATCACTCCCGACATCTGTTCAGAAGGTCTCCGCATGCTAGACAGACGGAGGACATCCTACTATGACAACCAAAAAGACGACTACCAAGCAGAGATCCAGATCAACGGGCTTGCAACGCGTACCCCACAAGCACCACCATTCCACTCAACAGCAAGTCTCAGACTGTAAGACACGAGCGGTCAAGACGTGAGCAAGCTACTCCAACGATCCCACAGAAACCAACGGGGTAATCACGGCCCATCCGGCCAACCAGGCGCCATACCAGGCACAGCCCCACCACCGAGCAACCCACCGCCGCCATTCTGCCCACCAGACTACCCGACCTGGAAAGCACCTACGCTCGCTGAAGCAACCCAACGCCCTGGACTCCCTGGAGGACTACCATTCGCACCCAACCATCGCCTGCCACTACCAAAGCCATGGATCGCCTACAAGTGTGAGGGCACCGACTTCGTTTGGACCCGCCGCGTGCACTACTTTAGCCTGGACGCCATCGAAACCACGTGGACAGACCCAGGCAACGTGCTCGGGCAACCAGGCAGGAAGAGAGCCCTAGCAGCCGACAAGCCGACAATGTTGAATGTCTCTTTCCGGCACGAACCACACATCATCCCGTACCCGCCGATGGCCATGCCCAGCAGGACGCAGCCGTAACCTCCTCCGACGCCTCCGACGTCCCCGAGGCAGCGGTCGCCATCACCGCAAGGTCGGTCCTTCCACAGTCGACAGCACCTCCCTTGACCCCACCACGACGGAGTACCGCGACGGAAACGGTTTCAGGGCCAGCGTAGACCGACTCAAGGCAGCAACTGACTACATGAGCGACAACGGTGTGACCGACCTGAAGCGCTCCGACACTGGCAGCGGCCGCCTTTCGAAGCTACTCCTCGCCAACCAGGACGACAACCTCGGCGCCCAACACAGAAGATACTCACAACTATCGCAGAGATCCGCGCAGCACAGCCGCACTCCACACCGATAAATTGACCGCATGCATGCCGTAGCCTCCAGGAACAGACAGCAAGCTCCGACGGTGACTACACTGCTACCCGACCTTTTGCCGCCCGACCACGGAGGGCACGGCATCCTTCGGCCACGAAGGAACAGACAGGAGGAACGATGTACGTGCTCATGCCCAAGACCGCGAAGATCCAACGGCGTTAACACCAACGACAACAACGACACCGACGCATGCAGCTCACCCCCTGCCGCGCTACAAGGCCCCACCAGCCATGCCAACGCCTACGCTCATCATGCAGCTGACCACAGCACGCGGCGCGTGCGGCAGCGAGGGCTAGCAGCCGAGCACCTCGAAGCAATGGTAGGAGGTACCATCCAAACCACCTCCGACCACCCCGCGAAACCACGGGAAACACCAAGGGACCGCCATGAACCAAACTGCGCCCAACCTTGGCGCGCCGGCCCCGAATGCCAACGACGATGTGTCGCACGGAGCCCGGGACGCGGCCGCCGAGCTCGCAAGCCGAACACCATCGAGCGCTTGGCAAGTACCGTCGGCAGCGACGTATGCGACCGCGAGGGCCAGATGCCCTAAGATACATGCCCACGAGGCGACCGCTCACCACTGCGACCAGATGCTCGCCTTGGCCGGCGCCGCGGAGACGAGCAGTGACTCGGCGACGGACCCAGACCTGCGCATCGAGTGCGATCAGGTCGTGGCGTGCATGGACGGAGCTCTCGGCAGCGACTGCACGTCCGACGGGCTGCGGGAGGCATGCCCCGTCCACATCACCCAGCGACAAAGGGCTTTGGCGAACTACGCCAAGCACCACCCGGCCGAGATGCTGAACTACCCGAAGCACCAAAGCCACGACATCCCTGAGCCAGCAGGAGTGGTACAACCAAAGGGAGACATCCTCATGGGCATCAAGGCAGCCATACGACACAATCTTACATCATCTCCGACGCCACTCCATGGCACAAGCTTACATAGGGAAACTGCAGTCGAGGCAATGGTCAAGATGGCCGAGTTCATCAACAACCAGACCCCGTTGGCCGCGGACGAACCATAGCATCAACATAATCTATAGCCGAAGCCCGACCCACCGACCGTTTTCGACCTGATGCAACCTAGCGACGAGCACATCAGGACCCCACCACTCCGAGGTCGACAACTGGATCAGCAGCCGCCGACATCAGGACCGAAGGCAGTGGAGCAGACCAGCAACACCAACTTGAGGCAGCACCAGCAGACCTCGACCACCGCGGACCAAACCGAACGGAGCAGAACCGCACAATACCATTCAAGACCACAACATAACAAGCAGCACACCACACACGACGACTGCAACACACTAGCTACGATCCGCAACACGATCACTAACCACAACAAAGAGCGGAACGTTTCCCACACGCCTCGCGAATGGAAACTGCTAAAGTCCCAACCCACGAACGGCCACCACGGCATCATCCACCAGAGCAACCAGCAGGAGACGGACAAGGAAGCCTTCCCAATCTACGACCCCGACCCGTGGAACCATGGCCGACCTTCGCAGACGCAAAGTACGGCGAAACAAGAGACTCCCCCCTAATCGCCCACAGCACTGAAGCAACCCTCGCGATCGGACCGGCCTAACGGCGGCCAAACAATGCGCTATATTCTCACACACGTGCTTCCTGCCTCACCGCAGACAGGACCGTCAGCTGTTACCTACCCATTCAAATCTCTGCGCCATCCATTTACCGACACGTAAATAGGCATGACGGACGCAACACAGCTCGTGATATGGGACTCTACCATCTCTACGGCTTTCCCACCTCTCTCTCTTCCCCGGTCTGCGGGACCTAGGTCCTGGTTTTTCTTGCCTTTGTTCTACTGCCCCGAGGCGCGCCCGACCAGGCCTCCCTGGGGGAAGCGGCTGCCTTTGAAGACACTGGCGCCGTCAGAAAACAGGAAGCAGGAGGAGGCGGAGGAAGAAGAGGAGGGGGAGGAGGAGGAGGAGGAGGAGGAGGAGGAGGAGGAGGAGGAGAAGGAGGAGGAGGAGGAGGAGGAAGAGCGGGGGAATTACGCTGACGGAAACGGGGAGGGGATGGAGGGGTGCGGGAGACGGCGGGCGGCGGGCCTGCGCGCGACGCGCGCCGCCCGCGCCCGCCTCAGGCGCTCCGCCGCACGGGCGGCATGGGCCAGAGCGGCTCTATCGCTGCAGGCCGGCAGGCGTCGGACTGCACAGCGTGTGCGCCGCGCGGGTCCGGGCGGGCGGGCCGTTCCCCTTCTCCTCCTCCTCCGCCTCCTCCTCCTCCCCTCCCCCTCCTCCTCCTCCGCCTCCTCCTCCTCCTCCTCATCCTCCTCCTCCTCCCCTCCTCCTCCTCCCTCCTCCTCAACCTCCCTCCTCCTCCTCCCCCTCCTCTCCTCCTCCTCCTCCTCCCTCTCCTCCTCCTCCTCTTCCTCCTCCTCTCCTCCTCCTCCTCCTCCTCCTCCTCGTCCTCCTCCTCCTCCAGCTCCTCCTCCTCCTCGTCCTCCTCCTCCTCCTCCTCCTCCTCCTCCCACTCCTCCTCGTGTTCTATTTTCTCCACCGCCACCGCAGTAGGCACTTCTGCATCACCACGAGCACGCCCGGCCAGGGCTATCATGGGCACTAGGATGGTGTCGGACGGGGCTAAGGCGAGGAGAAGTCCGTTTCAGAGCGTTCTGGAACACTCACAGGGCGTTCCAGAAAAGGCTCTGAGAAGTCCGCGGCCCCCGAGGCATCCTCCGGAGCCGCCAGAGATCTCAGAGATTCTCGATGTATCCAGTGTGCAGTCGGACCGATGTGTCAGATGGCGGCCGGCTCGGGGAGGGTGCCCTGATGTTCTGCATGTTCGCTGGCTGCCCCTGTGTGTCCTGGTGGGGGGCACCCTCGAGGGATCCTATGGCTTGGGGGTGTTTTGGCCGGCGGAATGTCTGATATGTTCTCGGAGGGCATGCTTCCGGCCCAGGCCCTAGGCCCGACTGAAAATTATTGTCGAGCAGGCTGCCCAAGTCGCCGACATGCCGCGCGATGTGCTTTCCGGCGCGCGCGCACAGGGCTCCGCGGGTCCGCGGGGGGAAGAAGCCCCGACCCAATCGACGGCCGAACAGGAGGGCGACCCCCAATTGAAGCCAACGACAGCGGACTGTGACTTCCACGACTGGCTCGAGAAAGCAGGTGTTCGGTGGCAACTCGAGGGGGTCTCCCATAGCATCTTGCCGGCTTCTGCCAATCGACGCGAGTCAACGCCAGTTGACGCTAATAGGCACTATATCGACGCTAATCGACGCTAGCCGACGCGAAATCGGCGCTGTCTCATCGACCCCGGGACGCTAATCGACGCGATTCGACGCTAAAGACAGAATTAGGAGAGTACACCCGAAACCACGATTTGCCAACGAACAAACGAGCGACGAAAAGAAAAAAGGTCTTGCGCGAGATGGCATAGCGACCTTACGCCGTGGCTCACGCGGGCCGCCAGCGCGGCACGCCACACTGGGAACGAAGGCGCTCACGCGCGGCCCTGCGCGGGCAACTTACCCGCCAAGTGTCGGCGAAAACGAACCCGTTTCTCTGCGTCGCTCAAGCGCACCCACTCTTGTCTGGCATCTGGGCTCAGGCGAGGCGGGGAAGTGGACGGGGGAGATGCCCTCACCCAGTGTGTTCTGCGTCCTTCAGGAGCCGAATTCTATACACCGACGCTTTGTCGGGCACCGCACTGAAACTCGCACAGGAAAAAGGATCCTGGTGTGTACGGGATCCTGGTGTGTGCATTTTCCGCTGTCGCCCCAGGAAAACGTGGAAACAAAACGATACACAACACCACCCCGACGTCGCCCCCAACCCTCAAGAAATCCTGGGATTTAAGAACGGCCCGCCACTGGTAATGTATATGCTCCGGTTTTCGCCGTCCTTCACCGGAACAAGCATCAGACGCACGCGCAAGACCACATATAACCAATTACACCAAAGAAAAAACCCACTCAATGGATGGGTTGATCGATCAAAAGATCGACCAGGAACCCGGGAACCCGGAACCCAGCGAAATCGGCACGGAACCACTAACCTGCAGGAGCCCGCGAAGCCGGAACCGGGAACCCAGGAACCCAGCCGGCCACCAAAATCGGCGGGAAACTTTCGCCAAAGCTTTCCACTTCCGCTGGGACCCCTTCAGTGCAAGCACCGATTGGGGAATACACACACGTCGTTCCTTCCCAATCGTGCTCATTTCCACTTGTGCTCATTTCTGAATTGCTCCTGGCCCCCTATAGTGGCCAGGAATAGGCCCAGGATGGAACAATGAAATACAGAACTTTCGAAGGCTCAGAAATGAGAGATGGGTACTCCAGATTTCGGAATAAAGGGAGGGGGGTCTCATTTCGGGGGGGGGTCTCTTCCAGGCTATCTTGGAGGGCCTGGGGGGTCTGGGGACGATGTCTTGGAGGGTTCTGCCACGGGGGAGGTCTGAACTGGCTTGTCTTGGAGGGTCCAGACCCCCTCCCTTTCGTTACGAACTCAGGAGCAGATGGCTGCCGCGAGCGCGCGCGCAGCCACGCACGCCCTGGGTCGCCCCGGCCCTCCCGCCCCCCCCCCCCTTCTCACCGCGGAGCCGCCTCGCGACCGCCGGGTGCGCTGCCGTTGCCCGAGGGGTCACGCCGTCGGGGCGTGGACCTGTAAGGAACCCCGCAGTGAGCAGCGAGGTCCCTCCCCGGACAGGATCGCGTCGTAAAACGTTCAGGGCGGAGGTTTTCGCCGTTCTCGGCCTCTGGAGGCCCTCGCCGGGCCCCAGGACCGCCCAAAAACGACTCAGGATGAAAAACCGGCCCCGGGGAAGGGTCGGGATTTCCAGGGACGCCGTCCTGAAAAAATCAGGACGTCGCATGTCTGAGTCTCTTCCATGAGTTAAACTTGGATTTCCCATCGAAGACCTGAGGGAAATCGAGGGCAAGCTGTAAAACAATCAAGGGACACCGAGTCCCTCTCCAACGAGAAAAGGGTTCCTTCTTCGGCGCCCCGTTTGTACGGCCATGCCGCTGCTGAGCCTGTGAGGGCCTGCAAGTGGTCTCCAAGGGCCCCGAGAGGTGAACGCTGGCAAGGAGGGACAAGCTGGCTGCGAGATCTGGGCTGAACAGATGGCTCCTTCCAGAAAGCTCAGCAAGATGGAAATGTCTTGGAAGGGCGGTTTTTGCTTCCGACGGCTATCAGCCGGGAGGGGATGGCAACCCCTCGATTTCTCAAGGCCCATTCGGGATCGCGTCACATGGACGCAGCATCTTTTTGGAGCGAGAAGACGGTAGCGGATAGCAAGATTCATTCGTGGGGTGAGAAAGCGGGCGGCTATGAACGCTATACGGCCACCAACAGCACCACCGCGTCACTCACGAGCTGGAGGGGCCAGAGGAGGAGGAGCAGGAGGACGTAAGACGGTGGGCAGCGTGCTTGCCAAAGTTGGCGGTCTGACAGCACAGCCTGGGGGACCGGGCGCTGCAGACAAATAGCGTGCACTAGCCATGGACTCGGTCTCGGCCACATGTGAGGAGGAGGGTAATCAGGGGCAGCGATAGGGGGGGATAGGCATAGGGGGGGACGCATCGACATGCAATCGCCCATTGATCGCCGATAGGGGTCTGATAGCCCCAACCCGCCTAGGCAGGTGCGGATTCACTATCGGGGGCCTATCGCCGATCTATCGCCGATGTTTCGCCGATTCCAGGTCGATGCATCCCCCCCTATGCCAGTCCCCCCCTATCGTTGCCCCCCAGGTAAGGGGAAGGATGAGAAGCTGGGGCCACGAGGTGGCTGCCGAAACTCACAGCTGAGGGCCTGGACATTGCAAGGCTCACCGGTAAGGTGCGCGCCGACAGACCACCCAGATAGCCCTGGCTGGCCTTGACATGCCCCAGTGCCCGCTGGGACTGCCCAGGGGGGAAGGCTGTCTGCGCGTAAGCCGAAGACTTCCCAGCCGCGAGATGGCAACCTAATCGGTCGGAGCCGAGGGTCTGTACATCGCACGATTTACCGAATTCGGGGAGACATAAGACTCGGGTACGAGGTACTCGGGATGGCCTGACGGGTCCATCTTGCAAATGACGAGACCCAATATGAAATCTGACGCGAGCTCCCGCTGTAAACACCCCACAGAAAAACCGGACCGTCAAATCCCAGGACGCGCTCGCCAAAAACTTCGGCAAAACCCCGAGCTCTGGCTTACTCGAGTCTTACCCATCGGTCGGAATAAGTAGGTAGAAACATGAAGTTGGAAGTCGTTTAAAATATACTGGGTGCCCGCCCGCCGCCTGAAGAGGACGGAAAAGCTGAAGCCACTCGATCATTGAAGTAGGAAGGCGCCCAAAGTAGATTGGAATCTGGGAATCCATAGATACCTCCTTTCAGCGACCAAATGGGTACGCTTCCCCGACATGTGGACGCGGCTGCGGCCCGCCCGCGCGACACGCCCGCGCGGCGCGCAGCACGTCACCACTGCCAGCGACACTGGAGGCCTCCTGGATAGGCGACAGCCTACCAGACCACCCCAGTCCATCCGAAGACCCAAATTTCGGGTTGGGTGGGGTACGGGTTCCATATTTGTTGTTCAATGTTCCCCGACCTCCCCCCCACTGGAAATGGAGGGCAACTCGAGGCCTTCGGGTTGGGTTGGGTTGGTTTGGTGGGTGGTGAGTAGGGGTCCGAGCAGATGGGGTCGGAGGATCTCGCCGCATCGCTGATGCATTGCCGATGCATCGGCCGTGCAGTGGCGACGTCGGCGATGTAGCCGCGACCCTCCTAGATAGGGGTCCGAGCAGATGGGGTCGGAGGACGTCGCCGAATCGCCGATGCACCGCCGACGCGTCGCCGATGCACCGCCGACGCATCGCCGATGCATCGCCGATGCAGCTGCCATGAAGTGGCGATGCATCGGCGATGCAGCCGCGACGCCGGCGCGGAGGAGACGGGGCCTCACATCGAGAGCCGCGCCGCCGAGGCATCATCGCCGATGCTGCGGCAAGGCGCGCCGCGGTCCTCCGACCCCGGCTACCATCAGGTCGGGCATGTCCTCCTACAGGCGGATTTTGGACGAAAAATTAGAATCAGAAAAATACCCCAAAATAGCCATACATGATCACACACACACACATCGTCCCCTGATTATTTTTGACTATTTCTGAATTCGCCGGCCCAACGGGCCAAAGGCGTGCTAAGATCTCCGGTAACTGCTAAACAATACTTCTAGTTCGCGCGCGCGGGGCGGCCCCTGGGGGTCCCCCGGCGAAAAGTACCCCGACCGCCGCCCGACCACTGCTACTCAGAGATGGTTTTCCTCCTGGGTGTGGCTTCTCAGGCCCCCCAGAGCGCGCCAAGAGTGCCCCAAGAGGCCCCCAAGACTGCCCAAAGGGCCCCCGAGACGCCTAAAGAGCGCTCCAAGACGCCGATGATGACCTCAAGACGGCCCAAGAGGCCTCCAAGTGGCCTCCAAGAGGCCTCACAAGAGGGCCCTGAGAGGCCCAAATCAGACATTTTACGATGGTTTTGAAAGAATTTGGGCCTTGTCCCCTTTTCGGCCATCCGATGCTCCAAGACGGCCCAGGAGGCCCCCAAGAGCACCCCAAGACGGGCCAAGAGGCTTCCACGAGGGCCCCAAGAGGGCCCAAGAGGGCCCCGAGACGACCCAAGAGGCGCCCAAGACGGCCCAAGACGGCCCCAAGACGGCCCCAAGAGGGGCCCAAGAGGGGGACCACGAACCAAAACCTCGAGCCTTCCGCCCCAAGAGGGCCCCAGGAGGCCCCGAGAGGCCCCAAAGAGGCCCCAAGATGCCGCCAAGAGGCCCCCAAGAGGTCCCAGGAGGCCCCCAGGAGGCCCCCCAGAAGACTTCAAAAATGCCTCCCAGGCGCCCTCGAACGGCTTCTCCCAAGAGGCCTCCCAGAGAAGCATCTTGACGACGACCCTGTTTGGCCCCAAGAGCAACACAAGATGCCAACGAGAGGCTTTCTCCTCCGCCCCTTCCTCTTCCTCCTCCTCCTCCTACTTATCTTCATCCTCCTCATCTCCTTCTCATCCTCTCCTCCTCCTCCTCCCCTCCCCTTCCCCATCCTCATCTTCTTCCTCCTCGGCGGCGCCACAATGGCCCCGGGCCCACGGCGAAGCAGTAGCGATCATGCAACATGGGCCGGCGGAATGAGCGAAGCGATTGAATCTTCTTCCTGTGGAGGGACACGCCCGACTTACATCTACCAGTGGAGGCCAGTCCACAAAGATGCCTTCCACAAGAGACCAAGCACCCTGAGACCCCAGAGCGTCCGTGGATTTCTTTGGTGCGGGAAGGCGCCACGCTTCTCCCACAGCATAATTATCATCGAAGCACCCAAGAAACCGAAGGGGCATGGTGTTTCCTGGCATGGGGGAACGAACAATGACATACAAATAAAACTCGAAGATCCGCGCGGATTTCTCGGATCGGCGCTGTACCCCCCTCCCTGGCGCGCGGAGCGCGCCAGGGGCGGCGCCGGAGGCGCCGCCAGGGGGACCCAGAAGGCCGATCCGAGGAATCCGCGCGGACCTCCGAGTTTTCATGTTTCTGTCATTGTTCGTTCCCCTAGAAATAAGGCGGCGGGGCTTCTCAGAGGGCGGGGGGCTTCTCAGAAGCCAGTCTCCGAAGGCCCCCCTGCCAGCTCCGAAGCCCCCCTCTTTTTCTTAGTAGAAGGCTGCCCGCCTCGCGCCACCACCCTGCGGGTGGTTGCCGCCGGGGGCCCGGCGCGGTATACCCTCCAGAGCCCCCGCAGGGCCCCCAGAGGCGCCCGAAAACGTCCAGCACGTCCTGGCAGGGGGTCCCCGCTATACTCCGACCCCACCCAGGAAGCCTCGAGCCACCGACACCCTGCGCAGATCCGGTCGGGCGAAAGGGGGGGATAGCAGAGGGGGGGGGGAGAATCAGCTCACGTAGCTGACTCCCCCGGCGCCTCCTGGCGCCAGGAGGCGCCCATGTATCGAGGAGTGGGCCCGGCGGCGGGGCCGAAACCAGCTGCATGCAGCGGCGCCCGGCGCTGGGAGGCGCCCATGTATCGAGGAATGGGCCCGGCGGCGGGGCCGAACCCCCCCCCCTTTCGTGACCCCCCCTTTCCCTATCCCCCCCTTTCCCTCCCTCCCTTTCCCTTTCCCTATCCCCCCTTTCCCTGTCCCCCCCTGTCGTTCGGCCCGCGCAGAGCGGCGGCCCGACGCCGGGCGAGCTGCCGACGCGCCGTCGGCCGGGCGGCGCCGCGCGGGGCCTCTGCCTGTGCGCGTGCGCGCGTGCGGCGCCCGAGGCCGCGCCTTGAGCGAGCGCGCCCGGCGACAAGCAATGAAAGGTACCAGAGGAGGAGGAGAAGGACGAGGAGGAGGAGGACGAGGAAGAGGGGAAGTAGGAGGAGGAGGAGGAGAAGGAGGAGGAGGAGGAGGAGGAGGAGGACGAGAGGGAGGAGGAGGACGAGGAGGAGGAGGAGGAGGAGAGCCTGCGCGTGCGCGCGTGCGGCGCCCGAGGCCGCGCCTTGAGCGAGCGCGCCCGGCGACAAGCAAAAAGGTACCAGAGGAGGAGGAAAAGGAGGAGGAGGAGGGGAAGTAGGAGGAGGAGGAGGAGAAGGAGGAGGAGGAGGACGAGGAGGAGGAGGAGGGGAGAGCCTGCGCGTGCGCGCGTGCGGCGCCCGAGGCCGCGCCTTGAGCGAGCGCGCCCGGTGACAAGCAATGAAAGGTACCAGAGGAGGAGGAGAGGGAGGAGGAGGAGGAGGAGGAGGAGGAGGAGGAGGAGGACGAGGAGGAGGGGAAGTAGGAGAAGGAGGAGGAGGAGAAGGAGGAGGAGGACGAGGACGAGGAGGGAGGAGGAGGAGGAGGAGGAGGAGGAGGAGGAGGAGGAGAGGAGGAGGAGGAGGAGGAGAGAGGAGGAGGACGAGGAGGAGGAGGAGGAGGAGAGCCTGCGCGTGCGCGCGTGCGCGCGTCCGAGGCCGCCCCTTGGGCGAACGCGCCCGGCGACAAGCAAACAAATGTACCACCAGAGGAGGAGGAGGAGAAGGAGGAGGAGGAGGAGGACGAGGAGGCGGGGAAGTAGGAGGAGGAGGAGAAGGAGGAAGAGGAGGAGGAGGACGAGGAGGAGGAGGAGGAGGAAAAGAAAGAAAAAGAGAGCCTGCGCGTGCGCGCGTGCGGCATCCGAGGCCGCGCCTTGGGCGAACGCGCCCGGCGATAAGCAATCAAAGGTACCCCTAACCCTTTGGGAGGGGACCTATAAGTTGGGAGGGCCGAGAGCACGAGGGACAAGGGGGTCTTTCCTGCAGATGTGTCAGAACAGGGCGCTCGGCGTCGGAATTATATTAGCCCCGGTGCGAAGACGGGTACCTGAGTGAGGCCACGTCTGCATCGGATAATTGGGGCGAGGAATTCTTTTGTTTTCGCTGCCCGGGGGGGGGAACAGAACACGGCCCGCGCGAGGGAACCCTCCACAATGTCATATTGCCGAAGGGGTGGTGTGAGGGGGGCGGCCTTCTGAGACGGCGTGGGCCTTTGTAAACCACGCGCCTGGATGCTTCTGAGAGGGCTTGGTAGAAGCAGGGAGGGCTTCTGATACGCCACCTGCCTTCTCAAAAGCCCCTTCCCCGACTCCTCAGAACCCCCCCCCTCTTCTGCCGCCCTCTTGTGAGCGCCGCCAGCCGTATGCACCGAGTGGAGCGGTCCTCGGGCCCCATCGAAGTCTATGCTGTTGATGATGTAGATGCTCTGGGGGGGCAGGAACTTCGTGGGCCCCGGAAACGGCAGGGCCGCTTCTTCACCGTTTCCGAGAAAATGTCTTGACAATGGAACACAGAAAAAACAGCGGTGACCTGAAACGGCAAAAAGAAGGTCCAGGATTGGAACCGGAGCCGGAAACGGTAACACCCGGCGACAGAATCGGTAACAAAAAAGGCGCCGGAACCGGAAACAGAAACGGCAAAACGGAACCAGTGAAGCAACGGCCCTGTCGTTCCCAGGGCCCACTGAGGCCAGGAGCCCCGGGTCACGGGCGGTCCCGGGCACTTCTGAGTCTCCCCGCGGGACTTGTCCGGTTGCCTCGGGGGGCGTTGCTTCAGGTCGGGCGTGTCCTCCTGCAGGCGGATTGTGGACGAAAAATTAAACATAGTTTTATGTTCCGTTTTGTGAATCAACAATCGACTAATCAACCATAATTAAACCTAAATAATCAAAAACACATTAATCAACAATCCTTTCGCGATAATCAAAAATCAATAAGAGTGAAAACAGATCGTCCCCTGACCATGTTTGGACTATTTTGCGATACTCCTCCTGCAGAGGGACATGCCCGAGGTACGCGTTGCTTGGAACCCACGCCTCCATGGGCACGGCAGCACATGCTCCCAGGGCCCCGCCCTCTTCGGAGACCTCTCGCGGCCCTGGGGTCGCACCCAGAGGCCCGGCCCAAGGCACCACGAGCACAGAGCAGCCAGGTGTGCCTTCCCAGACGTGATCGCGCCGTTCGAAAATCAGGACGGCCATTATGTTCCTTCTTTTGAGCCCCTGCAGGGCCCTTGCCAGGCCCCGGGACCGTCCACAAGCGGCTCAGGATGAAACACCAGGCCGGGGAAAGGGTCTGGACTTGCGGGGACGCTGTCCTGAAACAATCAGGACGTCGGATGTATATGTGTGTGTGTACGATTGTTTCATTCTCTCTTGTTCGGCCGGATCAGCGTCCAGGGCGGCCCAGGAGACCCCCCCGATCGCGCAAGATGGACCCCGAGGCCCCCAAGAAGGGCCAAGAAGCCGACAGGACAGCCCCGAAAGGGGTCCAAGATGGGGAACAGAGACAGCTATTTCGTTCCCGTCCTCCGTGATGGCAAGATTGCCCCCAGAAGCGCCAGCAGGCCCTGAAGAGGCAAGTTACGCCCCCAAGAAGCCCCCAAAGACATCCTCGCGAGGCCGCCAACGAGCCCCTGAGAGGCTTCAAAGAAGGCCCCACAGGATACCTCATCAGGAGCCCAGTGGCGGGATGGAGAAGAGGCCATTCCATAGGGGAAATACAGGCGTACACTCACGAGGAGCTCACCTTCGAGGCACCATGCTTGAGAACCCACGAGGTCCCCCGCCCCTGCCTCGTGCTGAGGAGGCACGTTCTTATTCGAGGCACCGTCTGCATGACAAAAACACATGCGTCCAGGTGGCGCGTGAAACGACTCGGGTATCTTATGCCGCGCGGTAAAGGGAGAATTGGCTCATGCACCCGGCACGCCACACGTACATACTTAATCAATTCTGGCGAGTCAGCGGTGAGAGCGCGCATCCTGTCGGAGCGCGGGCTCAGAGGATCTTCCTCGACACCTCTCGGAGATCTCAGAAGCAGGAATAGCAGCCGATGCAGCCATTTCGGAATGCTGTGGGGGGAGGGGGAGGGGGAGGGGGAGGGGGAGGGGGGGGAGGAGGAGGAGGAGGAGGAGGAGGAGGAGGAGGAGGAGGAGGAGGAATGCTGTGCTGACTTCGTGGACTGGCGCCGGGCCCCCTCTCTGCCGCGCGCGGAGCGAGGCGCAGGGGCGGCGCCGGAGGCGCCGCCGAGGGTGCCCAGCGACGATCCGAGAGCTCCGCGCTGACCTCCGAAACAGCTCATGCCTGTGCTTGGGCGCCCGAGTTATCCGGGGTAACTCGGGTCCGGGGTAACTCGGGTTCGGAATCCCGACAAAACCAACCCGAGTTAGCCCTGACCCGAGTTACCCCTGATGATTCGGGGCTCTGGACGCCCGAACTATACAGGGTAACTCGGGTCCGGGGTAACTCGGGTTCGGAATCCCGAAAAACGAACCCGAGTTAGCCCTGACCCGAGTTACCCCTGATGATTCGGGGCTCTGATGTGCTGCCTTTCCTCCTTCCGGATACTTGGTCGTGCGCCCAGGGTCCTGGACCCTGTGTCGGGGGCAGCGAAAAAAACGATACCGCTACTCCCCCCGCTGCTCCCCAGACCTCCTCCGGGGGCGCGCTCTGACCAGCATGTCGAAGCGAGTCCAGCCGTGGCGGCGAGGGCCTTCCAGCAGGCCCGAAGAGGTTGAAGACGAGGTTTGGGTAGCGGTGTCCATACCTTTTCATCCTCTGCTGAGCAGTGACCAACCGTCCCGGCATCCTGTAGGCATACCATGAAGTTTTCTTGAAATCCAGAAGAGTTCTAAGAACAGAAACAGTGTTCTTAAAACAAAAGTCCGATGTGTTGCAGCAAGATAACCTCAACCAGAAATGCTCTCAGAACATCTCGCGCAGACCACAACAGGTTCTTTGACCACTCTTTGGTGGGCCTGTTGGTAAGCCATGGCACGCTTCGCCACTGCTCGACGCTGACCTGTTGACCAATCCGAAGGCCGGCTCCTTCCCCGGGGTCAGGAGCACCAGGCTCGGCGAGGAGGCGAACCGGTCGAGCCTGCGGGTAGTCCTGCCCCGGCCCTCGCCCGCGCCGTCCGCCACCCGGAAGAACTCGCCCCGGATCTCGACGCCGGCGCTGAAGAGGCGCCCCTCCCGAGGCAGTGCACATGGGGCTCTCACCACTGGGGGCGGGCGCCACAGTGGCATGGAGACAGCAGTCCTTGGCAGCGCCCGCGAGGGCGTCGCGAGGGGTGTCGGCTTCTAAGGGCCGGCGGCGCGCAAGAGCGGCCCTATAGGCAAGGGTGGCTTTTGGTGCACGGCCACGGGTGGCACCTTGGGGACACCCCCTGGCGCGCAAGCCGCTGCTGTCGCACCGCGTTCGGCGATTGGGGGGGGGGGGCCATCGGGCCCGCACTTCGCTGCCCTGATACGCAGCACGCAACACGTGGCGTATTGATACGGAGTTCACAGCACGTAGACTAGACATGGTGACATGCAGGTCTGGCGCGATGCGTTCGCCAGAACGTGGGCCAACACGTTGAGCGAACACGCGACGTATGGACGCGGACGTCTTCAGCACGGTACGTGTTGCGTTTCGAAGCGGGCGTATCGAGGCAGCTCAGATCCGCACCAAAGGTCACTCTCGCGACAGGCCACTCTTACCCAGACATGCGACGTCCTGACTTTTTCAAGACGGCGTTCCCGGAAATCCAGACCCGTTCCCCGGGACCGGTTTTTCATCCCGAGTCGTTTCTGTTGACGGTCCCGGGGCGAGAGCTAAGGCGAGAGCCCCCAGGGGCCAAACACGGCGAAAAACCTCCGCGCCGAATATCTTACGACGCCATCGCGTCTTGGGCTTCTTGTGTGTCGTCGAGAGAAGGCGGCGGGGCCTCTCAGAGGGCGGGTGGCTTCTCAGAAGCCAATCCCAGGATCGAGGCCCCCTGCCAGCTCCGAAGCCCCCCCCCGCCTTCTCAGCACAAGGCCGTCGGCCTGGCGCCACCACCGTGCGGGTGCTGCCAAGGAGAGAGTGCTTGGTTTTCCCGGCGGGCCGTACTAGTACGCCGAAGTACGCATACTATGGCATACTAGTACGACACGGCGGGTCGTACTAGTACGCCGAAGTACGCCTACTAGTACGACCTGGCGGGTCGTACTAGTACGGCTACGTACGCCTAGTAGTACGGCCCGCGGCGCTTGGGAGGCGTACTCGTAGGGCCGAAGTACGCCTACTAGTACGACTCGGCGGGTCGTACCAGTACGGCTAAGTACGCCTACTAGTACGACCCGCGGCGCTCGGGAGGCGTACTCGTAGGGCCGAAGTACGCCTACTAGTACGACTCCGCGGGTCGTACGAGTACGGCTACGTACGGCTACTAGTACGTCCCGCGGTCGTACTAGTAGGACGAAGTAGGCCCACTAGTACGACGACCGGGCAAAGCAAGCCTATTCTGCTGCCAAGGGGCTCCGTGGTGTACCCTCCGGAGCCCGGCCCCCCGAGGGCCCCCAGAGGCGCCCCAAAAATGTCCAGCACGCCCTCGCAGAAAGAAAAACTGTTGCTCTGCCTCATTTGCTGTTCATTTCTCTCTTTCTTCTTTCGTTCGTAGTTCTTCTTTTTTGTTGTTGATTATTTCTTTCTTAGTTTGTTCTTCTTTATTCTGCCTTTTTCTATTCCGCTGCCCTCCGTCCTCCCTCCCTCCCTCCTCGAGCGCCGCTTTTCAGCCCCAGAGGCGGTGACCCCCCCGCGCACCCCCTTCCCCCTTGCTGGCGATCCCCCCCGTTGGGATGCAGCTCCTGGGAAAGGGCTCCTTTCGGAATCGGCGCTGGGAAACAGTCATCCCGTAACATCAGGACGCACGATAAGGATGCAAGGGCTTTGGAAGGCCACTTCGAGGCTTTTTGAGCGGGGTACGGCCAGGGACAGTGGCCACGGATTGGCCGAAGAGGCAAGGATGAAAAGGCCACCCTTGGGAAGGATGAACATCCTCAGTGTGCGGGTTGACTATAGATCCCTTGCCGAAAACTACCCCAATCGGACTTCCTCCCGCTTGGTCTGGCTTGATCCCTGTTGTGCCGGCGTAGTCCGACTCGTACGGTGAGGGTGTTGGGTCAGTCGGGAGCGGCCAAGAGGGGGGGGCCAGGGACGTAATGAAATGAGAAGAGGCGCCATGACATCTGGAGAAATATTATGGCCCCCGCCTTGATATCCCCCCCCCCCTAGTCATCACCCCCCTCTTTGCCGCCCCCAAATCAGGAAGCATCGGGCAAAGAGCCCAGGGTCTGGAAGCCGGTGAACAAACGCCAATCGGGGCTTGGCCGTGGATACCCCCGCCGCCCTCGCCAGGCGAGGAGTCCTCCAGGGTCTGGAGCCTCCTGGGCGCATTCCTCAACGAACGCCTCCACCGTATCCCGCGCTCAAACTGGCCTGCTCCGCATCGGTGGCCCCCATCGGGCTCACTAGCCCTGAATAGGAAGGCACCAACTATACACCAACACCGATCCTGGCCAGGATCACCCTGGGCCCAGGATCGGTGTATACGCCCTCCTGCCTTCCGCAAGAAGGCATATACACCGATCCTGGGCCCAGGGTGATCCTGGGCCAGGATCGGTGTTGGTGTATAGTTGGTGCCCTCCGACTGAATCGTGGTCGCGACGACCTCGGAGATTCCGGCCCGGAGGCGGCGACCCCCGAACCCCTCCCGGCGGCCCCCCTTTTGGAACTGCCTCCAGCACGATTGCAACTGGTACGAAAATGATGGGGACGAAGGCCGACATAGGGGAGCGAGAAATGACAGAAACATCAAAAACAACTCGGAGGTCCGCGCGGATTTCTTCCGTCCGCGCTGGACCCCCCTCCCAAGCGCGCGGAGCGCGCCAGGGGCGGCGCCGGAGGCGCCGCCAGGGGGCCCCAGCGCCGGTCCGAGAAATGAGCGCAGACCTCAGAGTTTTTATGTTTATGTCATTCTTCGTTCCCCTACGACAACAGTTCCTGCCCACTTTGAGCAGGACTCGTTGTCGGCCTCGCCGCGGGCGCTGTACGCTTGAGACAGCCCAGCCGCGGTCGCTGCCAGTCTTGGACAGCATGTGCTGTTGGACATCGTACCCATGTTTTCGTAACCCTGAAAGGTCTTTAGAACCCCCTGCCCCCCAGAAGGGAAAACTGGTTATTTTCCGGCGGCCTTATTGAAGGACTGGGGTCTTTCTCTCCGCGGCGGAGGAGGAGGAAGGAGGAGAAGGAGGAGGAAGAGGTTTCAGGACCCGTCCTATCCACCGCCGAAAGAAACGGGGGTGACCAAACCAAAGACCTTTGGCAATTACTCATTCCGGGCGTGCGGATGCCTGACCTCCACCCTGTTGAGCCGCTCGGCGCCGGGCAGGTTCAGGTACCTAACAAAAGGGGCCCAGGCACACACAAACACACACACACTCACACGCAGCCACGCACGCACGCACGCACGCACGCACGCACGCACGCACAGACAGACGCACGCACGCACACACACACACACGCACGCACGCACGCACACACACAAACACACACACACACACGCACGCACGCACGCACGCACGCACGCACGCA